CAACTAGTTGAAATTCATCAACTAGTTGTTGAAATTCAGTAATTGGTTGGTAATTAATTTTTTTCAACAACTAGTTGATGAATTTCAACTAGTTGGTGAAATTTAACAACCAATCGTTGAAATTCATTTGTGTCATCAACTAGTTGTTGAAATTCAGTAATTGGTTGGTAATTAATTTTTTTCAACAACTAGTTGATGAATTTCAACAACTGGTTTGTGAACTTCAACCTTTAGTTGTTGAAGTTCACCAATTAGTTGTTGACACAAATGAATTTCAACAATTGGTTGTTAAATTTCACCAACTAGTTGAAATTCATCAACTAGTTGTTGAAATTCAGTAACTAGTTGGTAATTAATTTTTTTCAACAACTAGTTGATGAATTTCAACTAGTTGGTGAAATTTAACAACCAATCGTTGAAATTCATTTGTGTCATCAACTAGTTGTTGAAATTCAACAACAAGTAGTTGACAAAAATGAATTTCAACAATTGGTTGTTAAATTTCACCAACTAGTTGAAATTCATCAACTAGTTGTTGAAATTCACTAATTGATAGATAATTCATGTTTTTCAACAACTAGTTGATGAATTTCAACAACTGGTTTGGGAACTTCAACCTTTAATTGTTGAAGTTCACCAATTAGTTGTTGACACAAATGAATTTCAACGATTGGTTGTTAAATTTCACCAACTAGTTGAAATTCATCAACTAGTTGTTGAAATTCAGTAACTAGTTGGTAATTAATTTTTTTCAACAACTAGTTGATGACACAAATGAATTTCAACGATTGGTTGTTAAATTTCACCAACTAGTTGAAATTCATCAACTAGTTGTTGAAATTCAGTAACTGGTTGGTAATTAATTTTTTTCAACAACTAGTTGTGGAAATTGGCCGACTGGTAAATAATAGATAACAACTAGTAAATAAATTTCTCTGTGTATGTCGAAGGGTTGTTGCGGGAGGAAAAAAAATTATGTATCGTGGGGGGAAGAAGAGATATATATACATATATTGCGCAGTAGAGAGCTCCCTGTACTGTGAAGGGTGACGTGATCTGGCGCTCAAGGTCGCGCGTGTTAAGGCACACTGCAGAGAGAGATGGTGTTTTGGATGATACTGTTTTGGATGAAGGCGAGGGTGTAACAAGGTTTTTTCGCCTTTGTTCAAACCCCTTTGCCAGGGGCAACACGGTGCTTGGGCTTTCAGTGGGTTACTGGAGGCATTAAAATAGTAATGAATAATAGGAACAAAGGAGAAGGATGAGATTGCATGGAAGAATACAGGGAGATGTATTTTTCTTGATAAAGTGAAATGAAAAAATCTGATTGAGACTAATTTATTGGGAGATTGAGTCGAGAATTGATTAATCCATTTCAATTTTCAACGACTATTATTATTATTATTATTATTATTTGAAAATTATCGCACAGGATTTTATTCACTAATTTGATATTTAAAAAGTATTTAATACAACTTAAAAAATATCTTTTTTTTTTACACGATTATAATGATTTTCAAAAATTTTAACTGAAATTCTAGTGAAAATTCCATAACAATAATAATTTTCACATATTTCTCTCTTCACCTAGAACTCCAAAAACCCCAAAAGAAAAAAAAAAGAAAAAACATGAGAGTTGGAGAGATTTTTCTTCGAGTGAAAAATGAAATTTGAGATTTATTCCCCATTCCCAAGATGATTTTCTGTTCTGTTCTGCACCCGTTGAGAAAGGAGAATTTTTATCTCCGTGAAAGGATATAGAGGAAACGAGTACAGCATGCCGTGTGTATGTGTGTGTGTGTGTGCGTGTGTGTGCGTGTGTGTGTGTAGAGTGGGTTGGCAGGGAATAAGAGAAGAAAAGGGGTGGAAATGGGTTTCTCTCGCAAGGGGTTCCCTAGCTTTTCTCGTCTCTACGAAGAAGGCAGCCCCCAGTGAATCCGACAGTGAGACGTTGCGTCGAGGGAAAGAGAAGAGAACGAATAGGAGGGAAAATGCAGAGACGTATATAAGGGAATAAGGGAGGACCGCGTGTGCGGGTGGGTGAGAGCGGACGGTGGATAAGAGGAGAGCTCTCTTTGTGAGAAGCGGTGAACGTAGGCGAAGGGATGAAAGCGTAGGATGAAAAAGCTGGGGGGACAGATGGCCGTTATACCTACACGGACAATGAGAAACTCGAGAGATAAGGGGGAATGCGCAAGAGCACGAGAGAAGAAGGGAAAAAAGGTGGCGAGGGAATGGGGGAGAGGAGATAAAAAATAGAAGAAAAAGAAATCGAAAATTTCGTTTGATATTTCCCCCCTCCCCTCTTTCTTCTGCTATTGCGATGAGAAACCCGAGGGGGAGAAGGGAAAATGTCAGTGTTGAACGGGTTTCCCTTGCCTCCTTTTTTTATTTTTAACACTCTTCTTCGTCTCAGTTATACCAGGATGTGGGTGGCGGGTGAAAGGCGAGAGGTGGAGGAGGGGTTGCCCGAGAGAGAGAGAAAGAGAGAGAGAGAGAGAGAGAGAGAGAGAGAGAGAGAGAGAGAGAGAGAGAGAGAGAACTGTACTATACCCATATTAGACGGTCTATGAGCAGAAAGTAGGTGGGAGAGGTAGAAGGATCAAGGATAAAATGAGAGGTAAAAACTTGTCTTGAAAGGAGAATAAAAAATATTAAAAAACAAGTGGAAGATTGCTCTTGTATTGCATACAGTGTAGTTATTTTTGCTAATAAATTAGCAGTATGCTTCTGAATGGTTATTTTGCACATCATTTCCTTCTAGCATTTATAATTAATTGTTTATTTAATGTTACTAAATTGAGTAAGATTTTTTAAAAAATAATTTTGTCAGATTTTCAACTTAATTGAATGCTACCATCATCATTATTCTTGTTATCCATTTCTTCTATTCAACCGATTGTCTTTTTTACAGTTCTGTCTCATCTCAGCCCTGGGATGAAATGTTAATTGAAAATGGCTTTTTCATCACGCTGTGACGAAAAGTGAACTTTTCGGCACGCTCCGCGTGCCTAAAAGTCCAATTTCCGCCACATTGTGATGAAATAGTATATTTCGATACGAGTGATACGAGCTGCCAATCACATGAGCTGAAAATTCCTGTCTCACATGTGTCGAACAATAGTTTTTGACAGTGATGTTACGTTCAACGAGTGGCGAACTGTGCCTTTTTTCGTTTACTAGTAAACGAGAAGACTTTTCGTTTACGAGTAAACGAAAAGGCACTTTTCGACACGAGGTGAACGTAGCAGCAGTGTCAAAAAATATTGTTCGTAACTCGTGAAAAAATGTTTTTTAGCTCGTGGGATTATATCACGAGCCGAAGGCGAGTCCCACTCGCCAAAAAACACTTTTTTGCACTCGTTACGAAATATACTATTTTGACACCGCTGCTACGTTCACCCCGTGACGAAAAGTGTCCTTTCGTTTACTCGTCTTGAAAATCATCTCGCCTCGCCTGACTCGCCTTCGGCTCGTCCTGTAATCGTATGAGGTTCGAAAAGTTCTCCACGGCCGCGTATCGAACAACATGTTTTATCATTGGGCCTCGTTTCGCTCGGTTAAATCGCGGTTCATCCAAAAATTAAATTTGAACGATTACAAAGCCTCCACTCGCCAGCCAAAAATACTCAATACCGAAATGAAGGCGAAGAGTGGAAGTGAGCAAAACAATTTTGACATTGTTACTTTTATCAGGGGGTCTTATTCACCAATGGAATGAAGGAACCGGAGGGACATCCGGATGAATAACGGTAGATGTACCACTATTGCACGTAAGACGTAGAGGTGGAGGCGAGAGGCAAAAAAATACGAGAGGAGATAAAAGTGTCGGTTGCGGAAGGGGGCGAGGGGAATCGAGGGAAAGAACCAACAGAACAGAACAGAGTATAGGATGTTGGCGGAGGGGAAGAGGGGGGAGGGTGGCGGGGGAGAGGGGACAAAAGAGAAAATGACAGAGACAAGAAAGGCGAAGCTAGAGAGTCTGATACACATCGCGATTCGATTGGAAATCCAAGAGATATGACTCAGTCCCTCGATTTTCCTTCGTTAAACCTCAGCGTCCCATCATTTTCATGCATTATTCATTGATTTTTTATAAACAAATTGTTGGAAAAAAAATTGTTGGAATGGAGATTTCACGAGGTGGAGGCCTGTGAGCGAGGTGAGCGAGCAAGGCCAGGCGAGAAGGAGCAGTAAAATTGTGGAGAATGTGTATGTCGGGCCAGCGGTACTGGCCTAGATTCAAGTCAAGACCTGCTTTCTAGGCAGCATTTCTCTTTATCACCACGAGAGAACGCGGGCGGTATACACCAGGGGGGGGGGGAGAANGGGGGGAGAAAAGTTGTGTGAATGCCCAGTGGAAAATGCATATGCGAGAATCAAAGGAGAATATTTCATTGAAACCTCAGCTCAATATCAGGAGTAAATAAAAAATAAAGAGGGAAATAAAAAAGCATGATGAGATATTTTTCCTCTCGCTTCAGTGTCGTATTCTGCGTTTCTGTGAATTATCCGATGGGTCGGATGCAGGAGCTGGGAATAATGAGGGAGGAGTGAGCGTCAAAGGCGGGAGAGAAAAACCTAAAAACATGTTCCCATGAAATTTCGCATTTTTGCATTTATAAAGGGGTTTTTTTCTCATCGGCGAATTTTCAGGGGAATGTTCCGAGACATTATCATGAACATTGGGCTGTCATCACCTCATTCGCGAGGAGCCCTGGGTACTCCCTGAAAGCCCGTTAATTACCGATTAATTGAATGAAAGTAATTTGAATTCTCGCGCGTCATCCGGTACCTCGTGTCCCCTTGGCTTTTAATACCAAAACAAATCCACGTTCTCCCCCATTCGCAAACTGTCAAACCCGCAGTGACCAGTTAAAGCGCGCGCCAGTTCGAGGTTATAATGTCACATTCGCGCGATTTCACGCAATTTAATTTCCCTAAAAATCGACAACAATTGACACTGATAAATCATTAACTGTTTGTTGAATTTCTCGTACCTTACCATGACCCCGGTGAACAGTCAGCTCGAGTGCGAAACCGTGAGGATGAACAGTACCAATTCAAAACATTTGGGGCCCGATGGGCCCGCTCCAACGAACGTCACCGAGCGATATTAAAAATCCAATGAAATCCAGACAACAAATCGACACCATCAGCAATAATAAAGTCCCAACATTCACTGAATCAGTCTATTTCACTGTTAAAAGTCAACTGTCATTCCCTCAGTCTCCCATAGTCACGAAAATAACAATGACACTCGTGACAGCTGTCAATCGCGCAGTAAAAAGCCCGCGAAAGCCCGGATGAACCCTCTAATCGATCCAATGACCACCGAAAACTCGACTTTAAACCAAATAAATTATAATCAGGATTGATTCTAGGTGCAACGCACACGCGACGCGATACCAGCGTCGAGTGGTTGTGTGTTTTAGCGCGCTGCGAGGACTCGCGGGTTGCTGGTATGATTTTTATTTCGTACCAGGCCGGGGGGGGGGAGGGCTTTTGCCGGTGGTATACGGTCGCAGCAGCGCAGACGAACGGTGGCGCAAAGCGATTAAGCGATTTTGTTGTGGACCTCGGTATTCCTCTTCCTCTCGAGCCGCGGCGGCGGCGGGGGGGGGCTCTCTCTTCCCGGCTTTCCACTTCTCCCGCGCGAGAAGCTCCTTTCGCCTCTCCCGCGGGCTGCGCAGGCCACCGGGAAGTGGCGATTGCGGGGCTGAACGGAAACCAACGCCTTCCCCCACGCGCACCGCTGAATCATCGGGGGCCAATGGCACGCGTGGACTACTTGTTGAGACAGGGCCGAGGCCCGACATCTCCGCGACATTTTTCCCCCAATTTTTCCGCGCAGGAAATATTTTTTTTCCGCCTCGTTCAATTTCTTCAATTTTTGCGTTGAGCTTTGCTCTGGGTTTTCCGGCGGATTTGCGATTTTCCGGGGTTGAGCCATCGCTGGCGACGGACGGGCCCCGGGGGGCTGGGTTTTTTGGCGCTTGAGACGCCTCTGAGCCCTCTCAACCCCACCGCGTCGCATAAAATGCGCAGAGACGCTTTTGCGGTAACACTGCGCCGCGTCTGCCCACTCGGGCCTTCCCGATATTCCGTTCAGCCGTCGGCTGGCACTTCGGCATTCGTCGTCGATCGTTACGCACAGGAGAGACCATCGCCATTGTGTAAAAAGCATCCACGACGCTCGGATAGTGCACGCTGAGGGACCGGACTTTTCACCGGAGCGCGTAGTTTTTCCTTCGAGAATTTTCCTCTTGTGATATTTAGACTGTGCCAACATTAGGTGAGTTTTGTCATTTGTTTAGTAGATTTTTACGGGGGGGCTTGCGGTCGTGGCGACTTGTTTTCCGGGGATTGCGGCTGTTGGGAGAGCCGTGGCGTCCCTTCTACCTCGGGTTTTCCGGTGGTCGTTATTTGGGGAAAATTCAGTTTGCGGGGGCAATTGACGGTTTTATTGGGGTCGTCGGCTTTCTCCGGGGGTTTTCAGGGATTTTACGGGGGTTTCCGCAAGTTGGGGCTGGGGAAAGCCTTTTCCCGTCGCGCTTTTGCCGAAAATTTTCGCCATTTTGTACTACCGAGGCCACATCGGCCGCCATTACTGTACGCCGATCGCCGTTTGCCTCTACTATGCAAATCTTCGGAACGAAATCTAGCGACATGTGATTATTTCTGCATCGGTCTCCGGGCTTTGTTATTTATTTTATGGGCCGAGGTATTCAGAATGGATCTCTAATTCTGGGAATTCTTCCGACTCATTGAATTGTAAATACGATTTTTTTTTTCTTCCGAGAAAAACCAACGCTTTTGTCAAGTTATTCTCTTCCAAGATTTTCTCTTGTTTTTTTATTTTTTCGTGAAATCACCTCAAATTGGAATTTCGTAAATTATTTATTAGAATTAAAAATAAAATATCCAGGTTTTTTTTATAAATAAAATAATGAAATATTGAAATTTTGAGAATAAAAAAATTTTGTTTGATTATCCGCAAAAATTTCATGAATTAAAAATTGAATCATAAATTTCATAAGCGAGCAAAAACAAAATTTACAGATTTTTTTCTTCAACAAATAAAAAAAAAAGTTAAATAAAAATTGCAAAATCAAAATTTTACTCAAATTATTCGAAAAAATTCAATTCACGAAATTTTCTCGAAATTTTGAATAAAGTGTTCCCCAGGAAAAAAAAGCCGGGGCAAAACGGGTAGTACTTGTGCCGACAAGTACAAGCGGCAACCGTTGCGCTGTCGTCGGTTGCCGGCGTTGCCACGGATTTTTTCCTACGAAAAGTGGCGCGTCGAGAGGGGGGCGGAAGGTGGGGAAGGAAGGGTGGTGGGGCGAATCGGAGCAACGTTCAACGTACGTAAGCCATTGTCGTGAAGGGCAGCGGTGAAAGAGCACACGTCGAGTTGGAAGCTTTCCCCAGGGTGTTGTTTCTAGTTCTAGCGTCTACCTCGTTTGTGATATTAGGACTTTTTATACTTGCAGAGCTTGGTGAGTGTAAAAAACCATTAAAAAATCCCCGAAAGCCCGGAATTCCGCGCAGAAAGTTCCAAAAAATTCCGTGGGAACTATCGATCCGGGAAAGCGTTCCCCCCCGCGCGTCCCCAATTCTCAACTGTCGAATTTCCAGTTTTTATCGTGAAGTTTCGTTAGCGATGCCCCATTAATAGTCCTAACGTGACAAACACGATGAAAAAACGATGGAAAATCGCGAAATTGTTGACTCGAGAAATCGATAAAATCCGATCGTCTGAGAACTCGGAATTTCCACTCGGCTTTTCGCCATTTTGTACGGGCACGACCCTGTTGTCGGCCATGTTGGGTGCCCCCGTTGCCGCTTTATTCCAGGGGAGTTGCGGTGGAAAAGAGGGGAAGTGAAGTGGCCTGAGGGGGCGGGTAGGGGAAATGCTGAGTACACAAAACCCGAGGTGTTCCCCCTCGAGCAAGAGGTGCGCGCGCGCGCGCGTTTCTGTGTGAGTTCCCCCCTATTTCACATTTTTCCGTCCACATTTTCTCGTCTACGTGCCCAACATCATGCAACGACTGAACTCACTGAACGGAGAATAATGATCCCTCGATACTAATGTTTTGTTTTACTCGTTCACCTCCGTGACGCAATAGCCGCACGAGATAATAATATAAATAGATTATGCAATCGTTCGTTTCAGCGTTATCACTGGGGTCCTCAGCATGCATGATGCCCCACCTCCCTGATCAATGCTCATCGCGTTTGCGCATTTCGCGAGTCGCTCAATTGATTTCGCGTCCCATCGGACCTCTCCTCCTTGAATACTGTAGCGAAGGGGTAAAACGGTTTTCGTCAATTTCCTCAGTTGCCCAGTTTTCGGTGAATATCTCGAAATCTAAGGGAGATATCGAAATTTTTGTGATGACCTTTTCTGTAGAGAAAACGATTGGCTACGAAAAATGTCATGATGAAAATGTTGATACCTCCCTTAGATTCCGAGATATTTCTCGAAAACTCGCATAAGGGCTAAATCTACCGGAACCATTTCACCGCAATCGCAAAAACGCGTTCCCCTCGCCCTGTGAAAGCCCCGGGGCCGACGCCACATGCCCCCAGCCCTGAATAACATTCCCAACATTACGTTTTCTCTCATTGGATTTCTCTTATTCTCCGTTTTTTTTCTCTTCATTTTCGGCTTCTTTATTGCGCAGCTGCCGCTCGAAGTTTCCACGATGCGCATGGGGCGAATATCTCGAAATCTAGGGGAGATATCGAAATTTTTGTGCTGACCTTTTTCGTAGCCCTCAATTTTCTCCACAAAAAAGGTCATAACGAAAATTTCGCCATCTCCCTCAGATTCCGAGATATTTCTCGAAAACTCGGCTAAGGGTCAAATCATCTACTGGAAGCGTTTCATCGCTTCGCCGCCGAACAGATCGCCAAACTTCACAAACGTGTTCCCCTCGTCCTGCGAAAGCCCCGGGGCTCGCCGCCACATGCCCCCAGCCCTGAATAACATTCCCAACATTTCGTTTTCCCCCAATGGACTTCTTTTATTCTTCGTTTTTTTTTCTCTTCATTTTCGGCTTCCCAACGCGCCGACGTTATTGCGCAGATGCCGCTCGAAGTTTCCATGGTGCGCATGCGCAGTGCTTGCGCGTCGTCCTCCCGCATCATCCCCACCATTTGGGTTTTTCGTTACCGTTAGGTAGGACACGCACAAAGGAAAAGGCCAGACCATCCGGACGCGCTTGCATCATACAGCCATTTTGGAAGCTTGGGTCGCGTCGTCAGAGCTTTTACTCGCGTTATTAATTCATTTTCCGAGTTATTTGGGGTTTATTGCGGTGCTAATGCAAGCCTTAACGAGATTCAGGTAGCACTGAAGAGATTAATCAACGTTTCTCGTCGGTTTTTTTTTGTTTCGGAATAATAGAAACGAGGGAAACTATTGAAATATGGAGGACGATCAGCAGTTCTGCCTAAGGTGGAACAATCACCAGAGCACGCTCATACAAAACTTCGACACACTCCTGGAGAGCGGCACGTTGGTCGACTGCACCCTGGCGGCGGAGGGGAAGTATCTAAAGGCTCACAAAGTGGTCCTCTCCGCGTGCAGTCCATACTTTGAGGTGAGTTCAATTTTTCATCAATTCATTTCTCATTTATTCCTGAATTAATCACCTGAGGAACGTTATAAACTAGCCCGAACTGTTCACGATAAATAAAGCAATGAAAAACGAATTAAAATGCCATCAGGGGAAATTAAAATGCCGTCATTAAGGCCCGGACACGAAAGTTTAACGTAAATTGAGGTTTTTTTGAGAGTCAGAGAGTGGGAAATGGTGAAAGGTTGATATAGCGGTGGTATTCCACTTCTTTGTCCCGCTGGTACGCCAGGAGTTAGATCAATACCAAATAGAGAGGATGAGAGAGATAGAGGTATAGATGTTGAAACAAGATGGCGGTGGATTGTGAAGAGGTATAGAAATTCATGGCTGGGCGCAGATGAGGAGAATAACAGGGGTACAGGGAGGGCGATGAAGGGGGGCAAACCCAAATCCCCTCCTGGTTTCTCCTGATCAATACAGGGAAAGCAAGATGGCCGGTTTCCAGGGCACTCGCCCTGGGATGGGATGTTGAAGTTTGCAAAGTCCTGGGGGGGAGGGGGAATTCGCGGAGTTTTCCGGTGTGGGGAGATGGACTGCTGGGAAAAAACGGAATTTCAGGGAGAGTTGAGGAGGGAGGGAGACGCGGATTGAATCCGATTCAGAGGGAAAATCGCGAATTTGCAGATTTCATTGGAGATTCAGCGGAATAATGAATACTGCGTCCATATGATTTTTTTAGAATTCTGTGTACTGCGATTATTCGTTTGTATCTGAAATTACTTCGGCGACTCGATCATTGCATTGTTGGGTCAATGAAATAGTTTCATGAATACAAAGTAATAGAGCTGTACTTTAAGGATATTCAAGTATTTTATAGTTTGGTACAGATTACACTCTAGATTCAACCATTTTTTATCATCAAATTTGTCAATTACATTGTGTGAGCCAAATTTGAAAAATATCGTGAATTTTCACTGTCATTCAAATTACATTTTGCGTAGAATGAATTTTTTTAAACATTAGATGTTTATTAATAATTTAAATTGTTCAACTTTCGAAAATCTGATTTTTGGAGCTTGAAATCGATTCCTAGTAAAATTTGGAGTATGAATAATGATTCTTATGGTGGAAAATTAATTGTTTGTAAATTATTTGTAGAAAATGCTCGTAAGTTTCAAAAATTGCAATTTTTTAATTATTTCGTCAATTTTCCTCCAAAAGTAGACTATAATTTCTTTTATTTTTAAAATGTTTTCTAACGATTCAATATCGAGATTCAAATTTAGACTACAAACGTAGAAAAGCGTTTTACGGAAGAAAAAATAGCCCAAGTACTTGGATATCCTTAATTTATCAAATTACGGGTGTTCCAATGATCTTTAATGGGAAGTTCCTTGATATTTCAGTGGAATCGGAAAATTTAGTAAAATTTTGGATATTTAAATTTAATGAACGGTATGAAGTAGATTGAAATTTGCGAACAAAATCGTGAAGTCTCAAATTTTACTAGAAATTCAATGAAATTCTGTATTTTTTCGCAGTAGGAGAACGAGAATTTCCCACCTTGCGTGAATTTTCAATCGAGACTGAAATATTCAGAACCAAATGACGCAGAATTTTCCATCAATTAAAAACTTTAGAATATATCCATTTGAATTTTCCTGATTTGTATGAATTTTTCATGGAATATAATCATTGAAATTTCCCTCAAAATCTACAATTTTTAATCATAAAATTCCGTTAAATTTTGGTGAAACATTGCAAGCAGTTTTTTGAATAGGTTCTTTCCTATCAGGCATTCCAAGTAGTTGTCTGAAATTCTAAGCCAAAGAATTCGAACACTGAATGAAGACTAATGGTTTTTTTTTGTTTCTCTATGAATAGGGCCTTCTTAGCGAGCACTATGACAAACATCCAGTCTTCATCCTCAAAGACGTCAAGTTTAAGGAGCTAAAGGCCATGATGGACTACATGTACAGGGGAGAAGTTAATATATCCCAAGACCAATTGGCAGCACTACTGAAAGCGGCCGAGTCTCTACAGATTAAGGGCCTCTCAGAAAGCAAGACTGGCGGTACCAGCAGCAGCAGCACCAAAACAGACACGAGACAGAAAACAACACAACCGCCTGTATTGTCAGACATTCCACATGCGTCTTCCGGTCTCACAATTGAGAAGAACAGCAAAGTTCCTAGGCAGAGTGTAGCACATGTTTCAGTTGCTGATGTACCAGAGGACTCGGCCAGTCCACAATTACCCAAAGGCGTTTCCTCCAGGTAAAAATTGTTGACAAATACTGATACTATTCCATTCCTACATTTTGTGTTTTTCTAATTGTCTTTTATCTCGAAAACTATTTGTTTTAAGGTAAAATGCATTCAGACCTTATTTGTAGCTGACAACATTTTCTACAAAAAATGTCTTCTGGTATTTTTTCCTAAAATGATTCGTTATGGATATAATTTGACTTTTAACAAAACACAAAAAAACGATTGAAGTTTTAACAATTTTTTCATTCATTAAAAAAAAAATATTGAGGCTTTTTTGTAGCTGATAAAATTTTCTACAGAAAATGTCTCGATATTTTTCTTGATGAGACGAAAAAAAGTTGATTTTTCATTCAGTTAAATTTGACATTTTTATCAATTTGGAATTAATCTCGGATTAAGTGGTTAAAAAATGAATTCATAAATTAATAAATTGATTAATTTGTCATTACAGGGAAGGCTCCCAAAGTCCTGTTGCCAGAAGGAGAAAGAGAGTGAGAAGAAGAAGCGTTGGTGACGACAATTCAATGGATAATCACGAGGCATCAAACTCTAGTGACTTACCCCAGCAATTGGGAATAACGTCACTTGGTCTTACGCCTGTAGGAGATGACAAGGCACACTCAGAGGCTGGAGATGGCGTCGGCAAGTCAGCACTCATGACACACCTGACGAAACCCGCCGACGACATGCACCAGGTAAATATCTGGAAATCTCTCGAATCCTTAACCAACGCCTAATAGAGATCTGCAGTAATCAGCCGTTTTCTTTCGCTCGTTGGAAGATAAATTCGTGTTATTATCCTACTGTCTCTGTCGAAAATTCTCGTGACGTTGCAGTGTGGAAAGACACGAAACAATTCCTCAACCTGATTAAAAAACGAACTCGTCTAATCAATTATTGATTTATCTTTTCAGATTCCAATGGAAAAGGCTGAACCCACAGATAACCTGATTGAGCCAAAGTCCGAGTACCTGGAGGACCCCGAGGAGAGTGTTGAAGACTTGACACTGGACGATGACATGAATGACCTCAATGAAATGGAACAAGATAATAACAGAGCTGGACCCTCGTCGCACGACCCAAGTCAACATCCTGGTGAGTTTAATCACTCCTCATTCAACCCATCATTATCAGTTCCACTTTCATTACAAAATCGCGTTGGGTTTTTATAAATAACATAACGATGGCAAGTAAATCGAATAAATTGATAAAAACTTGAAAGCAAAAATAAGAAATTAAAATCAGATTAGGGAATCTTCAATGCAAATACAAATGTTTTGACCCAAAAAAATTATCAACAAATTTTCAATTGTGAAAATTTTTTAGAATTACAAATAATAATAAAAACTAAGTTAAATTCCAAAAAACATTGAAGAAGTTTGGGGAAAAATCATCAGGAAACATTTCATGAAAAAAGATCGTCTAGACCGACATAATTTATCAACTGAATAAAAAAAAAATGAAAACTTGAAGTATTTGCATCAAACAAAAATCCTCAATTGCAAAAAATCCTCTCAATCGTCGAAAAAATTCGTGGCATTTGCAATTTAACAAATTTATCAACCAAATAAAGAAAAGAAACTATTGAAGCTGAAGTATAGCATGAATAACAAAAAATACGAAGGGAAAAAATAGTTTTTGCGTTAAAAAATGGCAAAAAAAATTTAAAAAAAAGCAAAAGCAACGAGTAACAAATCGGAGACTAGAGTTTGGGTTTCCTCGTTGCAGGTGGGGGGGCGCGGTCAACCCAGGGGGCACCCCACTTCGTCGATTTTAAAAAGAAGAAACCGAGAATACCGCGTCCAGAGGTCGATGTTGCCTCATTATTAAAGTCTCTCGCTAATAAACAGGGTAGAAAGTATAGTTTAGACTCGGTCAAGATGTCACTCGATGCTATACTCCAGCAGGGGGTTAGCACGACGCAGGTGTCTGAGATGTATGGAATTAACCGTTCGACATTGCAGTTTTATCTCAAGAAACTTAATGTGAGGAGGCGACGGATGCAGTAGTTTACATGAGGGTTCAATGGTCTTTATGAACTAAACGTGATAATTACTATTCTGATTGAATTTCATTAAATTTCAAATATTATTGATGTTCAATGCCCGGATAATTTAGAGTTCCTGTGGATTTTTATTAAAATTTAATAAAAACTATTGGACATATGTTTTTTTAAATTTCAATTCATGAGGAAAAGTCGATTTGATGTCTTAATTATAGATAATTTATCGATTTTTCGTGATAAAAAAATTCCACTATCACTTTTCGTATTTTATCATTCTATTCAAACAAATTTCATGGAAAAATACCAATCTCAGGCTGTGAAATAATTTTTCTCTCGACGAAGAAATAATTTATTTCATAATTTAGGATTTCCGCGATTTTTTCCTTTTTTAATATGAATATTCAACACATGATTTTTGAAATTCAATTTAAAGGATAAAAAGTCCATCCGATGTATTGATTTAAATTTTGGTATTTTATATTTTATGAAAAATACCAGTTACAGCCTGTGGAATAATTTTTCTCTCGACGAATAAATAATTAATTCCATAATTTGGAATATTTGCGATTTTCTCCTTTTTACTGTGAATATAGAATGAATAAAATTCAACTTCTCAAATTCAATAACCGACGAAAAGTCCATTTGATTAAAAGTTTCATATTTTATAATTCACAAAAAAAAATACCAATTACCGGCTGTGGAATTTTTCTCTCCGAAGAAAAAAAAGTCTAAAATTGTAAAGAAATGATAAATGTTCCCCTTATACGTGTGACGTACAGTGGATTGATTTGCCATCGTTATGTAATACCTCCACGTTATGGAAATTACTCGAATACATTGAATAAACGTCTTGCCACGTCACAAAAACGATAGGCCAGTTTTCACCGCGGTTTCCCATTTTCCCCCTCAATCAACTCTCGTGTGTATTTCCTCGACTGATTTGTGCCTTGGATTTTGTTTCTCTCTCCCTCGGGGAAACAAATAGGTCTCGCAGCGTGGCACGTAACGGGTGATCGAAGTAATGCGGGTGGCGTCGTGGGAGCGGTTGCTGGAGCCCCTGGGGCTAATGACGAAGTTTTCCTAGCTGCCCAGGAGGCCGCCCAGGCCCATCGCGACTCTCAAGGTAGGCTCATCCTCATCATTTAACAGTCGCCGACGTAAACCGTAACGACAGGCACTTTGAACTCGTCACAAAAAAAAATCTCAATTCATTTTTCATAATTTTAAAAATTCAAATTCACCCAAACATCCAAAAAATCCCAATCACTTCTACTAAAAGATCATTGCGATGAAGATTGAATCATAAAAAGTGCTTACATAAATGAGGAATTCTAAATTAAAAAAAAAATTATGAATAAAAAAAATTGAAAACTTGAAGACTAGTCCTTAAAATAAATTTCGTTTAGCTCATGACTCATTTACTAAGCACTTCGGTGAAAAAAAATCCCAATGCCGGATGAAAAAAGTGCCTATTGCGCAGGGTTGCGAGGCTTTTCATAATTTCACTGTCTGGCAACATGGCTCAACCGTGATCTCGGTGTTCAAGCGTGGCACGGTCTCTGAAAGAGCAAGTATATCTCATCAAAACCGTTTTTATTCTTTACTTTTCTTCATTTAATCCCCTCCACGTAGGGCACGTAGTCACTGGTTTTCCCCCCCAATCTCAAAATTTTCATCCATTAAAAAAAAAACTCGTGATGCAAGGCCGAGTCGCTCATTTCCAAATACAAACTAGAAAATTTCTCGGCCTTTCAACGCGCAAACACCTCTCTCTCCTCTCACTCGGCGAAAACGCCCTCCAGCTCAGAACGAGCCTCTTGAAAACTCCGTGGGCCCCCCGTTACCATGTGAATAAAAAAATCAAAAGCAGATAAATTCTCGTGAAATAAATTTCCCCCCGGACGCCTGTCGAGAATCGTTTCTTCGTAGTCAGCGCAAAAGAAAAAATAATGAAGGATTGAAACGGTCAGAAATGAAAAGGGGACTAATGAACTAGAGAGTTTGCGAAAAAAAAATGGGGGGGAATGAGGGGACCGATTTGGTCGAGACGCTCCCACGAAAAGTCGCTGGCCTTGGGCTCCATAAAGCCGGCTTAGCCCCCCCTCCCCCCCCCCCCCCC